AATGACTGGGTGAGTAATTTATGTGACATTATAAATTCCCTGATGGTCCCAAACTAAGTGGGCAGGTAAATGATATAAGCATAGGCGTATTCAAGAAGATATGGACCAAATAATCAAATAGACCAAGGAACGGCAGATGGAGTTTGATGTCAATATGTGAAGTAATTCATATTGGGTGAAGAAGAAGCAGTAAACACTACATTGGAGAAATATGTATATTATAAGAGGTGAAGAAAGGTGCTGTCTGGCTTTATTCAATCATTTACCAGGGATGAGGGACTTTAGTGATGTGGAAAGACTAGATAAGATGGGATTGGTCTCCTTAGAGCAGAAAAGGTTAAGGAGAGATTTAACAGAGGTGTTCAAAATTATGAGGGGTTTCGATAGAGTAGATAGGAAGAAACTATTTCCATTGGCAGATGGGTCAGTAACCATGGCACATAGATTTAAGATAATTGGCAAAAGAACCAGAGGAGAGATGAGGAGAATTTTTTTTACGCAGAGAGTTGTTACGGTCTGGAAAGCATTGCTTGAAAGAGTGGGTGGAAACAGCTTCAATAACAACTTTCAAAAAGGAATTAGATAGGTACTTGAAAAAGGAAAAATTTGCTAGAATATGGGGAAAGAGCAGGGTAGTGGGACTGATTGGGTAGCTCTTCCAAAGAGCCGGCACAGGCTTCCTTCTGTGCTGTAATATTCTATGATTTTATGATTCTATAATTGGCTTTCCAAAATCACAGAGTACCCAAGTACAAATATTGCAAATCAGATGGCAGTGTCAGCAATGCCAGTTGTTAAACAACCTTAGATTGACACCTGATCCCATTCAAAGGACAAGAAAGAAGGTAATTTTCTATTTCCCGTAATTACAATAAAAAACCTTACATTTGATATACCACCTTAGCACGTTGCCATAATGCTTCATAGAATTTATTATAAAGTATATTTGTAGACAACGACAGTAGGCAGTGTCCCATAAATAACCACAAAGTGAATGGCCAATTCAATCTGGAGGATTGTTGGCCAGAACACAGGGGGATACTGGGTTTCACTCACTAATCTGGGGTAGAATTAGTACTGGAACTCAGCCTCACCCATTCTAATCTTCAAGGACTGGAGCAAGTAATCAATAGTTGCAACAGGTTGGTACAAACAATGGATGAGACCAGTTCACTGGACTCATTTAAGAAGCAGCTTAATCCTACATAGAATTACATGGAGTGATACAGCATAGAAACATACCATTTGGTCCAACTAGTCCGTGATGGTGTTTATACTCCCCTCACCTATACTCCTCTGTTCTTCTCATGCTGTGGAGTCCAGTAGCTCAGTGGTTAGAGCAATTGCCTCACAAGCGAGAGACCTGGGTTCAATTCCTGGCAGGACAAAACCTTGGGCAAGTTTCCTTACTCCACACGATTCTGATAATAATCCTTCAAAGAAAAAAAACAATAATAATTTGGTCACTTCAATCCACGACTGTTTGTGGGACACTGCTGTGCACAATTGGCTGCCACGTTTCGCCCACAATATACAGTCAATTCACTTTATAGGATATTCTGTGAAGCGCTTTGAGATGTCTAGAAGACGTGAAAAGCGCTATATCAAATGCAAGGATTATTATTATTATTATTATTATTATGCTGTAATAGGATAAGAGTTCCTACTGTTTTCCTCAGCCAAAAATGCATAGAGCAAGCTTTTTTTTCACAACCAAAGATCCATGTTTGTAAAAGTGTGAAAAATGAAAGGAGGGTTGCCTAATATTATTTGTTTTCTAATTTGCAGCGTGTATAGATTTGATAGATTATCAGTTGTAACATTGGATTCTTTCAGCAACAGCACCAGTCAAGCAGCATTGTTCATTTCAGATCCTGCCTCTTCAAATCACCGTCTTTCACTGAGCTCAATGGCGTGAGAGGAGTGCGTCACTATATATTTAACAGTGATTTATTTTTAATTTAAATTTATGTACAGCTGCAGGCTCAAATTGTTGTACCACCCCTTTGTTTACCCAACAAGAAGTCTTTCTTCTTTCGTGAAGCTCTGGCTTCAGTAACTGAATTGTACCATTTAAAGCAGCACTACGCCAGAAGTTCAACACGATGAGCTGAAAATATGGGGACATTAATTATGATGAATTAATATTTATTTCCTGACACGAAGTGGAATTAAAATGGCTTGTGTCAACAATGCATGATCCCACACCAATGCATGCTTCAAAACCAGAAGTTAGCTCTTTTGTGTTTCAAGTTTAATTTCTTTTGGAAATTTGCTTTCCTACTTGGGTTCTTAATTCTAAAATTGCCCAAAAAAGAGGTAGATATTAACTCCGCATTAAAACAGCACATTTTCTGCATATTGATACCGAGATTGAATCTAACGCAAAGTGACTCAAATGACAGATTAACAATCCCTTCTCTCTATTCTCATAGAAAGTGTTAAAAAAACTGGATAATCTCAACCCAGTTACGCATAGCTCAGATCCCAACTACAAAAAATGTCAAAATTCATGAATAATTTATATTACGTTAGCAATTTTGCTCAGAGTAAACATGACCAGAATTATCCTGCCTGCAGCATGAATTACCACACAGATGACAATGGAATGTATTTTTTAGCAATAATCCTATTTTTGTAATCAATAAATCTGGTTCAAATTGTATGGTATCAATCAATTTTCTAATAAATTGAATTATGCGCAGTTGGGACTGAATAATAATAAACATAATGACAATAATAATTTATTCTAGTTTCACAAGACATTGACTCACAATAATATCACTCAAATGATTTTTATCTACAATATTAATTGGAACACATACATTTTTTAGATGCAGAACGGGCCAGTTGGGCTATCGAGTCTGTACCACTCCTACTTTATAGATCTTTCCCCATATCCCTTAATGTTTTCCTGCTCCGGTGCTTTACCAATTTCCTTTTGAATTCATTTAGGTATCAGCCTGGCTCAGTTGGTAGTAGTCTCATCCAGTCAGAAGGTTGTGGGTTCAAGCTTCACCTTGTAACATTGAATTCACAGTTTAAGAGGAGCACTGCATTAGCAGAGATGCTGTCCTTTGAATGAAATGTTCAACCGAGGTCCCATCTGTCCGCCTCCAATTCATCTAAACAAATGGCTTCTCCTCTAGCCTCTGCACAGTCTCGTGCGGGGTTCTTCAGGGCTCTGTCATTGGTCCAAACTTCTTCAACATCTATATGCTCCTTCTTGGTAACATCATCCATAGACATGGGGTCAACTTCCACGTGTATGCAGATGAAATCCAACTGGACCTCTCTGCCTCCACCCTTGACTCCAGGACCGATGCTGTCCTGACACAATGTCTGTCAGACATCAAGTCCTGGATGAGAGCTAACTTTCTTCAGTTGAACGTCAACAAGACCGAGGCTCTCCTGACTGACTCCCGTCAGCGCCTCCTTACCTCAGGCGCTTGGCAGCATCACCATCCATGGTTGCACACTCCACCTTGCTAAGCCAGACCGGAACCTTGGCAACTTGTTTGACTCTCAACTATCCTTTCTACCCCACATCCGTGTCATGACCCACTCTGCCTTCCCCCACCTCCGCAACATCGCCCAGTTCCACCACTGTCTCACACCGCAGGCCACGAAAACCTTCATACACGCATTCATCACATTCAGGCTTGACTATGCAAACTCCTTGCTTGTCGGTCGCCCCAACTCCTCCCTCCATAGGCCGCAGATCATCCAGAACTCTGCAGCCAGAACTCTGCAGCCCATGTCCTCTCCTGCACCAGGCTCCGTGACCCTATTACCCCCAGCTTTGATCACCCTGCTTCCCCCCCTTGCCTTCCACTCTCCCCAATCCTGATCCCCAGCTCGGGTCCGAAACACTGATTGAATAGCACCTTGGGATAGCCTCCCGATGTGAATGGCACTTTACAAATGTAATATTGTTGTTATTAATTTGTGCTTTATAGATCCCTTAACACTATGTGAAAAGACAAGCGAGTTTCTCCGGCTGTCGTGGCCAACAATCGTCCAAATAAAATTGGGCATTCACTTAATAACTGATGTTGGGACGCTGTGTGCATAAATTAACTGCTATGTTTACCTGCAAAATACACAGCCATTACACTTTACAGTAAATCCTGTGAAGGGCTTTGAGATGTCGTCCCGACGTGAAAGGCGATATGGCAAATGCAAGGATTATTATATGATTATTTACATAGATCACTGTCAAAATTATGCCCGACTTCTCCTTCCCCAAACAAAAAGAAGTTTGCCAGACACTTCCCCCCACCCCCACACAGACAGTGTCTCTTTAACTGTAACACTGGAATCCAGATTGAAGACTGCCAGAGGCTAACCTGTGGTCACCATTGCGGGTTACATTATAACACAGACTGCAGTTCTGTACAGTCGCTCTCCACTGCACGGTAGATCCCTGCTGACACTACTCCTATTATAGTGTTACTCAAAAGGTTATAATTTGAAGCAGAATTAGGAAAGCCTATAACAACCTGAACTAATCTGCGGGCCACATCTGACACACTGTGCTGTCTGGTTGAAAAAAACAGAGGTGGGAGGGGAGCAGACTGGACTCTGGATGCCCAGATGGATATTGACATCCACCCATTGCCAGCAGCCTGGCTTAGTGCCCAAGCAAACAGCACAGCTGGACTGTCCATGGCACCATGTAGCCAGACTCCTCTGCTCTGTATGTGTATGTGTGTGTGTGTGTGAAAGCAAAGCCTCACTGAAGCAATGAGTCAGTGAGTGCCACACAGCAACACGAGCAATGCTTTCTGCTGGCAGAGATGTACACACACACACTGCAATAAGTTTGGTTCTTTCCTTGTGGGTGCAGAGGGAGTGGAGTAGATCGCCTCTTTTCCTCGCTCAAGTTGCAGCCCCCTCTCTGCCCAGATCACATGCTGTAGCTTCAGCTTTTGCAAACACTCCCCCTCTCTCACCCCCCCCCCAACTTTCACACGTTCCTGCCAGATTGATCTCAACTTGCAGGAGCTCCACTGCTCAGGAAAGAGCTCTGTCACAGTTGCTGGCTCTGCTTTACCTTTTTCTTTCCCCTCCCCTCAATGGAAAAATTTTAACACATTTATTTTTTTGTTAACTGGTGGGACAGCTCAGATGAGAACCACAGAGTTGACAACAGCAAACAAACCTTATTTTCCATAGGTATGGAGCACTGTACAAGAACCAGCCTGCTAGCAGCAGCTCTATTGCTGATTTCAGTGAATCTCTTGAGTCTGCACAACAGCAGTGTCCAAGGTTTCCTCTACAATAATCGCTATTCAGGGTAAGTCTTGCTGGATAGCATTTTCTAACTTACTCCCATCACCTGAACGTCCTGCACTTACTGATGCCTTTAGGGCTATGGGTAAGTGCAAAGCTTGATCATTGGTACTTGTATATATATATAAATAGATATAAATTATATAAATATATATAAATTGCCTCCTATTTTATTTTGAAACGCAATGAATACCCGACAGTAGTTATACAGTAATCCAATGCAGTGGTTCGGACTATATGTATTATGAGAGACAAGCCAGAGACTTTTACTTAACTGATCTGAATCCAGAAAGTGGACTACTATACTGAATAGTTTGGGCTTATTCAGAACTCTTTCACCCACCCCCCCCAAACATGTATACCTACTAAAAGGCTGATTTATTTCATGGAAATATTTTTTTATGAATAGCAATTGCATACAGGTATGTGTCACAGCGAATAGTAGCATAAAAATAACTCACCTGTATTTTATTCTGGGGATCCACATCAGCGTATCTTTTACTGAAGCTAATAATAATAATCCTTACGTTGGAGATAGCTCCTTATCATGTTGTTGAGACGACTCAAAGTGCTTCACAGAATATATGTTGTGTATCTATCTCATAGTTTCAGCATCTATGTGGGACAATGCTATTTCAAATGGGGCTTCAGTAAACTAGTCAGTAAAGCAGTGCTTCCCTGCCCTGTTAGTCCCTAATTGATGAGCCCAGAAAGTTATGGCAGAAGTGGAAGATGTTGTTGTTTTGAACACGTCTCATAGTGATGTGGGCGAGGATATGGTGAGTGTTTTTTTTAACCAAAAAAACAGGAAATCAAAAAGGTGTTCCGCAAACTTATATTCTACATTTTACAAATTTGCATAAACACACTGTGTGTCTATGTAACTTTATATAGCTATATATATTTATTCTGTGGTCTAATTTGCGGTATTTCTTAACAGGATTCCTAAATAAGGAATCTGAGTTGTGTAAATGGGACTTCTTCTGGTAACTACAAGTACATAACAAGAACTCAGCTCCATTGTGATCTACTTTTACACTGCAGATTGTGTATCCACGGGAACTTAACAGTATTCCTTATTTATTCTCAGTGTACAGTATAAACTGGATGCAGCGACAATAATTTGCATTTATATTGCGCCCTTCGCTCTAGGTAGCATCTCAGAGGGTTTAATAATGGTGTAGTTTGACGGTAAGATGGGAAGAAAGGTGACCACAGGCACGGTCAAAGAGGGAAGTCCAGGTTTGATCTGAAAATGGGCAAGGAGTGGTAAAGCAGAGGGACTAGTAAATTGGCCACTTCTATCTACGACTGTTTGTGGGACACTGCTGTGCGTAATTAGCAGCCACGTTTCGCCCACAAATATACAGTCAATTCACTTTACATTGTATTCTGTGAAGCGCTTTGAGGCGTCTCGAAGACGTGAAAAGCGCTATATCAAATGCAAGGATTATTATTATTACAGCGGCTGATATATACAATGGAAATATTATATGGGCAGGGCGAAACCTTAGGCAAGTTACCTTACTCCAAATGCTTCTGTTTACCTAGCAGTAAGTAGGAACCCGGTTGTTAGTCAATTGGTTGATCGCTTTGCAGGGGCAGTGGTTTCTACCAGTGCAGTTAGCAAGTGGTCTGGTCTTCTCGGATAATCCTTGACACCAGGTGAAGTGCAATGACCAAAAAGAGTATTATAGCTGAAGGTATTATTCACCAAAAGAGATTGAAAGCAATCAAATCCTCTCAAACCTGCTGTCAAGACTTATTTTCTTTGTCAGTTAATGATGAACACCATTCTATTTTGCAAAAAAGTACTATGACCTGTTCACATGGGTTTCTATGTATTTTTACTCTGGTTTGCCTGTCTTTGCCAGCAATTAATATACAGCAGTACAAGAATAACTCATCCAGATTTTATTCTGGATATATATTATTAGTATTATTATTTTTAGCAAATTTGTGGACCTACTGATTTCTGAATCCCTGTGGATTTATCCTGTTTCAAATGAGGCACTAGTAAAATAGTCACTGAAGGATTGGTAAGCACAGCTTTGTTCAAAATCTTTGTGCATAGTCCACTTAACATAAGTTCAGCAAATTCAATCTAAAGAAAAGAGACAGAAAACATCTGACAAATGTATAATAGTAATAATAATCCTTACATTTCATGCCTATACAGGTTATTCTGTAAAGTGTAGTGATTGTGTATTTTCTGGGCCAATGCAACAGCCAGTTGCATACAGCAATGTCCCACAAACATTTACTGGCCAGGACACCAGGAGAAACTACCTTCTGTTTTCGAACAGTGCGTGGGATCTTTAACGTCCACCTGAATAGGCAGAGAAGACCTCAGTTTAAAGTCTCATCCAAAGACAAGCTATGCGATTTTAGCTGGTTAGACTCCAGCAGTACCTGAGGTCTTCAGGCCTTGGCTCTTGCCACCCTGTACCTAATAGTTTCCGGAATTAGGTAAGCAGGATTCATCCCTCCAGGGAGAGAGTGAGCATTCCATTCCAACAATCTACCTCTGGGATTGCTATGTGTGGGTAGGATGCATGGAAATCTCAGATAGGTTTGGATACTCATAAGAATGGTCGTGGGTTTCCACGCGAGTCCAGACATCTGCCTGACCAAAAAAAAAATCTGTGGATAATGTATTTTACACAAAGCAATTAGACCTGTAAACTCTGCTGCTGCCTTTAGGTGAAATGTGAGTGTGGACTGACTGTATTCCAAATCCTGAGCATTAAGTATAGTAGATACACTCCCTGGATTCACTGACACATTTAGATCAAGTAATAAACTGAGCTTGTGAAGTTTACAGAGTTCAGAGCTATTGTCTGAGTCTCAAAGTTGAAATCACGTTCTTGAATTCACTCCATTATATTATTTTCTGTGTAACATACACCATGGAGTTGATTGGAACAGTCTTATTTCATTTCCATTCTTTGTTGTTGCTGGTAGATATTTATGTTGTAAATTGATGCACCACTTACCCTTCACAATAATCCTTGCATTTGATATTGTTTCTTTCACATCAGGAGGATGTCTCAAAGTGCTTCACAGGATTCACTATAAAGTGTAGTGACTGTGTATTTTGTAGCCGGAGATTCTTAGGGAATGTGATAACACCCACATTAAAGAATGAATAACTGTAATAATAATAACAAACAACAACCTGCATTTATATAGTGGCTTTCATGGTGATTAGCATTCCGGAGCATTCATAATAATAATCCTTGCATTTGATTTAGCGCCTGATCACATCGTTCACATCGTTGAGACATCCCAAAGCGCTACACAGAATATACCGTAAAGTGAATTGGAAATAAAACTGTAAATACATAAAATAATATTGTAAAGTAAATTTAAATACAAATTCACTGACGGGTCTGTCACAGGATAATTTGGAGATGATTATCTAAAAATCTACCTTTTTGGCTGCATCTTCAATCACGTACTCTCACTCCCACATTTCATCCAAAGGACAGCATCTCTGACATTGCAACCCTACCCCAGCACTATATTGCAGGATCTGCCTCGTCAGTGAGTTGCAAGCCCTGACATGGGACTTGAACCCTTCTGATTCAGAGGTGAGAGCGCTACCAACTGAGCCAGGTTAACACAAGTATTTACCCAGCTCCAACAGCGATTTGTGGTTAGACATCCAAATTCTAGCATCTCTATGTGTTTAATAATAAAAAAGAATCTTTGCATTTGATATAGCACCTTATCATGTTTTCTAGACATCTCAAAGCACGTCACAGAATATACTTTATATATTTTGTGGTGAAATGTGGCAGTCAATTGTGCACAACAGTGTCCCACAATTGTGGATTGAGTGACCAATTTATTTTTTTTGAAGGAATTATTACCCCTGGAAAAACGATCTGCCAATCGACTAACAACTGGGTTCCTACATACTGCTAAGTAAACAGAAGCTTGTGGAGTAAGGAAAATTGCCCAACGTTTCGCCCTGCCAGGAATCAAACCAGGTCTCTCGCTTGCAAGGCGAGTGCTCTAATCAATGAGCTACACGATTCCACATAAATATGAAAGAAATATTTCAACATTCTTCTGCTGATAATCCTCAATTTACATGTTGCAGGGCAGAAGACTTCAGGGTCATAGTTATTTAGAAACTAACCCGATTTCTTTACACTTGTTTCTTGTTGACCTATAACCAAAATGGTGAAGTGATTTGCAAAGGAAGAACTCACAAGGGAAAAGTTCCCTTTCATTACAAGCAGTGTTGTGAATGTTTGAAGATAATTGGACTCTTTGTGCTGTGACTGAATTGGGATGAATGAATGTGCTGTTTGTTTTGGTGCTTCTATATTTGTGTTACACATACCTGTGAAGAGATCGTGAAATTCTGCCATAAAGTTAGTGGTGCTTTTGACACCATTTGGAGAGCGGAATAAAACAACTAGTCTTAAAATCAACATTGTTTGTGGTGTTAAGAAATCAATGTTATTAACTTAAAACCTTAATTGACCTTAATTAACAGATGGGTTAACCGTTAATTTGTTTTGTAATTTCTGCTTTAAGAACAGTGCAGTAACGCCTTATCATGTCATTGAGACATCTCAAAGTGCTTCACAGGATATACTGCAAAGTAAATGAACTGTGTATTTTGTGGAATCCTGTAGCTTAGTGGTTGGAGCACTCGCCTCATAAGTTAGAGGACCTGGGTTGAATTCCTGGGCAGGGTGAAACGTTGGGCAAGTTTCCTTACTCCATACACCTCTGTTTGCCTAGCAGTAAGTAGGACTCTGGTTGTTAGTTGATTGGTGGATCGCTTTTCCGGTGGTATTAATTCCTTCAAAACGACAAATGTATTTTAAAAAATAATAATAATTTGTTCACTCAATCCACAACTGTTTGTGAGACACCTCAGTTGGCTGCTGCATTTCACCCACAAAATACAGTCAATACACTTTACAGTATATTCTGTGAAGCACTTTGAGATATCTGGAAGATGTGATAAGGCGCTATATCAAA